GCCCGTAACCCTTGACCCGAGGCATCCGTCTCTACCACGAAAACTTGTAAGAAGTTTGGTAAAGCGAGGACCGGAACTTTTGTCATAGCTTTCTTCAGGTTGCATAAAGCATCCTCCGCTGCCTTACTCCTGATGAACCCATCTTTTTTCGACAATTCAGTTAGTGGCCAAGCGATCTTAGTATAACCTTCCACAAAACGACGATAGTAGCCGATGAGACCTAAGAATCTGCGAAGCTCTTGAAGGTTTTTAGGCTTAGGCCAGTTACACATTGCCTCGACCTTAGACTTATCAGCTGCCACTCCATTCCCAGAAATAATATGGCACAAATATTCCAGTTGAAGCTGCCCAAATGGGCATTTCTTCTCATTTATATCTAGCTTGTGTTGCTGTAAGCACGTGAGGACAATGTCCAAGTGTGCTTGGTGTTTCTTCAACGTTGTGCTGTTTATTAAAATGTCGTCAAAGGAAACCAACCCAAATTTTCTGAGATAAGGTCGGAATACATCATTCATCAAACCTTGGAATGTAGCCGATGCATTTGTCAGTCCAAATGACATGACCAAAAGTTCATTGTGGCCCTCGTGAGTTCGAAAAGCCGTTTTTGGTACATCTTCCCGCCTCATTCGTATCTGGTGGTACCCTAATTTTAAGTCCAGCTTAGAGAAGATGTTCGCCCCACGGAGCTCATCTAAGAATTCATCAATCATTGGTATAGGAAATCTATCTGAAACTGTTACTTTGTTTAATGCCCGGTAATCTACGCAAAAGCGCCAACTCCCATCCTTCTTTTTAACCAACAGAACCGGGCTCGAAAAAGGACTACAGCCCTTGCCTTCAGCATGTTTCGCACTAGCTTCTCTATCTCGATATTTTGGAAATACGGGTAACGATATGGCCTTACATTCATCGAGGCTACCCCGGTTTGGAGCACAATCGCATGATCGTGGGAACGCACCGGAGGTAACTTGTTTGGCCACTCAAAAGACTTGGCGGTGACGCTATAATACATCAGTCACCTCATCAACTGCCTTAACCCCTTGTCTTTCATCTTCTAGCTTCAGGCTTCCTAATTCCAGAAGTACTCCTTGGTCTTCCTCCTTGAAATTCCTGACCATTGATTTAATGGAGACCTAAGTCTTTTGTAGACTGGAGTCTCCTTGCAACATGATTGAATGCCCTTCCACCTTAAACTTCATTATTAGCCTTCCCTAATACACATGTGTCTAGCCTAGAGTACCTAGCCACTTCATTCCCAAAATCAGGTCAACTCCTAGCATGAGAGGGAGAAAATCATCCACCACCTCGATGCTGGGCAGTGACACGACTACTCCTTTGCAAATTCCTCCTCCCTTGACTGTGGATAGTGACTCCGTACATGTTAGTCCCTGTCACTGGAATGTTTAGCTTCTTTACCAATTTCGAGGATATAAAGTTGTAGTTGTCCCACAATCAATGAGCACAACTACAGCGTGACCTCACATATACCTAGTCACCTTCTTTGTCTTCGGGGTGATCAGCCCAACCACCGAGTTAAGAGATAGTTCCACTACTTTGTGTACATCATGTTCTCCTACCTCAGCTCCCGATTCCACCATTTCTTCCTGTAAGTATTATGCCCTAGGTCCAATCAACTTTGGACATAAATACTTTTATATATAATTAATGCAATTAAATGGCAGATCTATTATTTAATTAATAGACAATTAAATAAATAATAGAGTCCGTAGATTCAAATATTTGTAATTTGTTAATCACAAGGAGTTGTGATTGTGAGATACAAATTACATCTGATTGAATCTTAAATCATCCGTGGTCGTAAGTAATAACGAGATACGGATATCGTTATTACGGATAGACCATCACGTGTGGCATTTCTTACTTGTGAAGTAAGTAGCTGATCTCACAAGTTAAAGTGTGGTGACACTTAAATGAACACGTGGATGTTTGTTATAGAACAAAACATTGGAGACCCGTCGAGAGATTCCACATGGATAACTATCTGAGTGTCGGTGGTTAATCTCTAACGTTCGGTAGTGAAATTGGTCCTTTGACTTGAGGTCGTCATGGTACCTTATATGAGGACAGTCATACTTTGGCGGTGTTGGATGTTGCTCTGAAAAGGGCCGCTAATACGACATCGTTCGGGTACGTCAAGAATCGTATGAAGGTTGTGATTGATCAATAAAGGATTCGTCACTCTTAGATAGTAGGAGATTATGATCTGCGTTTCATTCAATTAAGTCAATGATGAAATCCTTGGCCAAGGTGTACTCATAAGTCGAAAAGGAGTTTTCGATTTATATTGACTTAATAGTGGAATGAAAGATATGATCGATGATCGAGATTGACACAATTTCGTATCTCGTAATTGATCGCATCATATTGACGAAGGGATTATAGTTTCACGGTAAACGAACGAATTTGGTTTTGTCATACCACGTGACATTTCCCGTCACATGTATTGCCCTGACACATTGCTAGATGTCAATCAGGGACGGCGAATGTGAATTGACGATAAATTAAAAGGGTATTTTAATTTATCAATTTTGATTAGATCAAAATAATATTTCACGTCGTTAGGCATCGTGGTCGGGAACCTAATGGGTCGCACACAAAAGAGAATTGGAAGATTGCAAATTGCCAATTGATTAATTTAACAATCGTTGGATAAATTAATTAATTGGATTTGTTATTTATATTTTCGAATTAATTAATTGGATTAATTAATTCACGGACCGGGTTTAATTAATTGGATTAATTAATTATTAGACCGGACCGGGCCGAGCCGAGCCTATTTGGGTTTATATAAATACATAACTAGGGTTTGAGGTCCAATAAGGTTTTCATTATTCTTGCTAGCACAAGAGAAAACCCTAGAGGCTGCAATCATATTCTCTATGTGGATCATCGTTGGAGGCTGGACAATTGGACAGCTGTGGTGGCGAATCAAAGTTGTGGAACGAAAAGAAAAGTAAAAGGATTGCAGATCTGGAAAAGGTACAATCTTATCACAATTCCTAACCAAACACAATGAGATCTATTGGGTGGGAATCGAAATAATTTAATTTTCCGCTGTGCATGTATAAGTAGATTCCCAACACTTCCAACCCTTCCTCATCTTGAACAACAAGGACGTGCAACTCCTTGAGGCGGCACTTGTGTCCCGGTTGGTATTTCTCATCACATTTATAACATAATCCTTTCTCCCCCTTTAGCTGAAGATCCGCATCTATCAATCTTTAGTATGGTGTCCCCCCTTTTTCGGTTACTGGACCGCATGGGTTGGGGGTCAAGGGCTTCAAAGGTGCTGCTAGAAGTCGCTGGAGTGAGGTCGTATTTACATTCTGAGAGTTTTGGGAGTAATTAAACGGGCTGTAGGCAGTGCTGTTTATATTACTCCTAATTGTAGTTGGGCCATGCCAATTGCTTCATTCATGTCTTCGACCCGTTGGGCTAGCACCATGGTGTGGGCTAACCCACGAGGCTTCAACATTCTTATTTCAGCCCGTATAATGGGAGTTAATCCATTGACGAAATTGCACTTCAGCACGCCGGTAATCCTGAACGGACCCTTCCCACTTAAGCGCAAGCAGTTTCTCCAACTGAGTACCCTCCTGTGATGGGAGAAACCTCTCCAATACTAAGGTCTTTAAGTCCTCCCATCGACGCACAGGTTGCCGGCTTTCCTCCCATTGATACCAAGCTAACGCTTCTCCTTCGAAGCATACTGTCGCTGCTTCTAATTTCTCCCAGTTTGACAGTTGATTTATACGAAAATATCGTTCTACTCTTAAAATCCGCCCATCCGGATTTTCAACGTTGAAGATGGGCATTTCTAGCCTCTAGTTCCGGTGTTCCGTTCGTAGCTCCTCCTCGTGGACTTTCCTCCCTTCAAGGTTGTCATCGACCTCACTAGACATGGCGGTAACTTCGGGGTTACTAGGGGAATCTGTGGCTGCTTCGTGGGTACTCCTTCCTCCTCCTTTCTGCTTCTACCATCTGCCCATCATTACATTGAATTTTTCTATTAGTGACGTCATGTCCTTCTGCACGCCCTCTATCTTCCCTTCCAAGGAGTCCACTCGACCCGATAGTCATCTTTCCCAGGTGCGAGATGATCTGATACAAAAATGATAGGACCCTAAACCAATAACACTGGAAGGTTTATCAGAAGGTTAAAAGAATTGTAACCCAAACTGTAACTTTTATTGAACAGTATAAAACAGAAAAACTAGGAGCATTCGAGAGACTCCAACTTTCCTAAAAGACTCCTGATTTCTAAACGAATATTCTACCCCTTTCCACTTTACATTTATTGACAATCTTCCAACTGACTCACTACCCTCCCCCTAACAACTAACAGATTAACAAAACGTCATGCAAATAAAAATTGATTTCTGTTACTCAGCTGACTTGGCCTCTGACTTGACTACCTCCTTATACCTCCGTGTGTATGTAAATATTACCGGGGGCCTATCAAATTTTCCCCCACAAAATATGGCATTTTTGGTATCCATAAAAATATTAAAATCTTGTCATGGTCTTCATCAAACTAGACTCTTCTTAGTCTGAGCTGCTCCAACGAGTTAAAATTATAATACTTGCACATAGGAGCTATACAACCTAATCAAGTGTCGAGTTTGTTGTTGATGGTAACCAAAAGCTAAACTCTAGAATGGCTGATAATAGGTATAAAGCTACCTTTTCCTTCATTTCCTCTTTTCCACTTAACATAAATCCTCCTATTCAATGGCTTCCACCCCTCGAGCATTGCTGCCCAGTACTTGTAGAACTGCTTAACCTCTCAAACCTATCAGCAGGGAGGAACAAAGTACGGATTCTATACCTCTATCTCTTTTAAGAGATCGAGTTTTTCTTTGGATAAAGGTTGAAAGCAACAGTACAATAGCACAAGGAATAAATGAACCTAAAATTGGGTTCTCGTTATCTAGACGAAGAAACCACAAGCATTTGATGAAAAGCATTTTAGTCCTCAATTTAAAAAACCATATCAAGTAGCACCATAAATCCAAGTTTCTTACGTCATGATAACAACAAAGAGCCCATACAAAGCAAGAAGCGTATGTAGCACCAACCATATGAGAGCACACGCATAGACCTAAATAATACATTGATCATCACCTGAAATAGATACCTGAGTTTAAGCTCCTATACTTTATTAGAGCAAATTAAAAAAAAAAAAAAAAAAAAAAAAAAAAAAAAAAAAACTAAGGATAAGTAGCTCCCGATCAGCACTTCAACAATAAACTTCAATCCTACAAAAGAAATAGCAAAATTATGATCAGATATACGGGTTAATGATACAAAATCACCCAGAAAAGATGGACGACATTGAATATGCTGACAGAGTATGCATTAAAAGCTATGGAAGGAAAAGCAAGTATTCATAGTTGCTAAGTAGAAAATATTTAAAAGACAAGTCAGTAATCATGTTAATGCAGCCTTGATTGACAACTTTTCAAATTAACAAATACCTCCAATAAATTTATGTCGCCTAACTTGTACCTGGCGAGAGAGAAGGATAGGAATTGTTGCACACGAGCTTGTAGAGAGAAAAATACTGTGTACATGAATTTTTTTTGTAATCTTTGCACATTCCAGGCATTGAAAATGTATAACATGCACAAGATCTTATTTCACCAGCAAGTAGACAAAACATGAATTAGAATGATTAGTCAACGATCGGAACAATACTTCCCCAGAACGAATGGGTTTATGAATTTTTAGCAAATTATCAGCTCAATAATTTTTCATACATATGAAAAACGAAAACCTAAAAGTTACAAATTATAACAGTTATAGAACGATTAAAGTCACAAAGGGCACATTAAAGTAACATAATATACCTCGTCGTCGTCGTCGTCGTCGTCATCTTCATCTTCATCTCTGTCTTCCTTCTTCTTCTTAAGACGAGTTGTACCACCCTCCTTGCTGATGGGTAACTTCATAGCTCCAAAAGGTGTATCAACGTCGATATTCCCTTTCATTGAGTAACCAGTACCTCTTCCTCTGATCATATCCCAAAGAGCAGAACCGCAATCCTTGGGCTTAAAGGTGATGGGAATGTCAATGTAGGTGATTCCATTCTTCTCAAGTTTAGCAGTTTTTGCAAGTTCAGCACCACCAATGCTTACATCACATAACCAAACCTCATAATCAAGTGCATTAAGCCCCAGGTCAAAATCATTTTTGTTTTCCAACTTCAAATGAAGATTTGCAATAGTTTCTTCAATAGAGAATTTCTCGAATTTAATTTTCTCAACATCCATATCCGGCTTGTAAGGTATGGGGATCTCTCCAGTCTTCTCAAGGGGCAAAGTAAGCCTTCCAAAAACTGGCACGTCCACTATGAGATCAACCTTGATTTTGTATGGAATAATGCTTCCAGGCTTTATATCATCGTATGTGTTCTTGATATCATCATATATCAGACAAACTGGTATCTTAACAGTCTCGGAACCATGTGCATGGATCGTCCCAGCATCAGGAATCAAGCCTGATACCAGCTTTCTCCCGTCACTCTCAATTAAGTAGTTGATGTCAATGAGAGGGATGGGAATAGGATTGGGGTTCTTCACAAGGATATCGACAACAATATCAGCCTTTTCAAGATTGATGTGAGGAATATGGATCCCAGTTACATCTGCAGTTGGCTTCCCAAATCCTATTGTTTCCTCAATTTTCTCACCAATATCATGGATGAAATCCTTAACCTTTTCAATAAATCCACCCTTTTCTTCATCTTTCTTGCCTTCCTCATTCTCTCTATCCTTGACTTCGGTCTCAACTACCTCTGGTTTATCATACGAAGCCATATCTGTTCCAGATGTTGAAGGAATTAAAAAGCGGAATATAAATAGTTGTACAAATTCAATTGGCGTGGAAGAAGGAAAGCATGAAGTCGTCAAGTTTAATACAAAAGTACATGGCTGCGTATATGTTTCATAAACATTTCCATTCCGAATCATCCAAAGAAGTGTTAAAACTACACAACAATAAACAAGAACCTAGAAAATTTCCCAGAAGATCACAGGGATGAAGTTATCTCAGAGTAACCAAATTTATGATGCCAGAATGAATAGTGATATAGACTCTTCAAATCAAGAGTCATTTCCAAATGAATAATGCCATTTAGCACCCCTGATTCTAAGCAACAGTCAAGGTGGCATTCAAGTGTCATTAATTGATAGATGATCTTAAAATTAGGGACATGTGACCCAACTAAAATGACCTATCATCTACATTGCATTATTCTTTTCAAATAAAAAAGGATAGATATTTACTTGATTGAGACACTAAAAATGTTTTCGGAAAGTCAAAAGTTCCGAAAGCACATCAATGAAATGCAGAAACCGTGTGATTACAGAAAAGGGGTAAAGAAATCTTCGAAAGATCAAGGCTCCTTTGGAGTATAACTCAGAGCCTCAAACACAGTCATCTATCCTCTTTTATTTAAAAGGTCGATGTAGAATTGCCCCAGAATCCAAAACCATGAGAAATGTAAAGAGGTGCACAACAATGGATCTAAACAGAAATCCAAGATCAATGAGTGAAATGATTAGCAAATTAAAAATAATTGTCAAATAAACAGCTTGATGATATCAAATGATCAGCACAACGAAATATACATCCATATCCATAATCCATAACTTAAAAACAGCGATTAGAATATAAAATTTTACCTTAGACCCAGACAAGTGAAGCGGAGAAAAGTTGTGATCCGAGAGTTGAATCAGAATCGATTGTTGCGGAATGGTGTTCGTACTCTATAAATGATATAATAGTGTTGAGTGAAATTTGCCGACAAAAACAAGGACTGGGATCCAATGTACACGTATCCGATCCGCGTGTAGTCAATGAACAGATATTTCTGTTTAAAATAAGTAATTTATTTATTATTAAACCTTATGATTAAAAAATTAATTATCAAGCCTTTCTTTTAGTCCATTTTTTCAAAAATTTATTTTTTTCTAAAACTCATTTCAATTGTACACTCTTCGATAAAATAATTTTACACATAAATCGAATTTTTTATTTTTTATTTTTAACTATACATTTTTCAAAAATTACTATTCGAAAATATATTTTTCCCTAAAATGGAGCTTAAACAAGGACTTAAAAAAGAACTATTTACTTATGAGTAATTTTATTTAAATTTTAATTGAACTTTACTTTTAAATCACTTCTCCTATCAAATATTCAAGGATATACTTTACATGTAAATACGTATTTTAATGAATACAAAATTTGAAAATTACTTAGCAGTTTATTTTTATAATAAAGTAAGAATTATTAAATTAAACAATTTTTTTACTGACAAATAAAATATTAATATTCATTTGGAGATAAAATGTTACTTAAAATATAATAATTTATCTTAAGCTTAGCCAAACAAATTCAATTCTGTCAAGCCAATCTTGCAAACAATTAACCTTTGGACAGGGTGAAGTCCACAACCACCCCTCCAATAGGGGGGCGCCACATGTATTTGAACATGGACTTCACCCTGACTGTCTAGCAAGGTTGTCTTGCAAAATATGGGGAAATACATGGAAATAACCTTTACAGAATGATTAGTTTTCCAAAATGACCCTTAGATATTTTGCATACCAAAAACGACCTCCATTTGAATATTAATAACAAGGTACCATAATATAAAAACTTTCTATTTTAGTCCTTAAAAATTTAGACAATAGTTGAGAAACTTGATATTTTTATTTGATTAATATATTATTTTTTTATTTGATTTTTGTTCGCTCTAAGTAGCCCCCTTTATTGGTATCAGAGTCATAGAAATCATAAGAAAACCTTTAAATTATAATTCTTAAATTAATATATATAAATGTTTACAAAAATATATTGATCATGAGAAAATTTATAACAAATAAATTATTTAGAGAAATAAAATTTTAGATACATATTGATACTTAGGCTTTATAATTTAAATAATAGACATTTAAAAGAATAATTAAATTATACATCTTTAAAATAATAATTTATAGATATCATGGAAATAAAAATAAGAAAAATAAATAATTATTATAAATTAGAAGAAGAAAGAGGTAGTTATATATTTCTAAAACCTATTAACAATAAATTAAAAATAATGACACTAATAATAACTAAAGAATTACCTAAAGAAATAAAGGAATAGATATTAGAAAAATTAATAATAGAATCAATAAAAGAAAGATATATTTATGAGAAAATTATTGATATATATTTAGATGAAAAAATTAATTTATATTATAAAAAAATAAAAGTATGAGTACAAGCGATAATACACTTCAAAAATTAAATAAATTACTTTTAAAAATGGATAAAATACAAGAAGAAATAAGAAATATAATGTTAATACCAGAAGGAATGAGAATACCAAATAATAGACAATTAGCAAAATTAAAATGTGAAAGACTAATACTTGAAAGCAAATATTTTACTATAGTAAAAGAAGAATTAGTAGATCCAGAAACAGTTGAAAGAAGATTTAGGAAAATAATAGATAAAAATGAAGATAAAAGATGCAAATTAACTTATGAGTTAGAAATAAGAAAAAGTTAAGATGTCAGTAAGTAAATATATGAAAGAATTAAAATCATTAATAAAAATGTTAATAAATGATATACAAGATTTGAGAAATGAAGTAAAAGAAATAAAAAACGATATAAATATATTAAAAATTGAGATTAGAGAATTAAAAGAAAATAATAAAATTAAAGATGAAAAAACTTATAGAAAAAGAAATGACTCGGACAGGAAAGAAACATATAGAAAAAGAAAATATAGTGATAGAAACAGGAAGCATGGATGATGAATTTAGAAAGAATATATTACCAAAAATACTAGAAGAAGAAAAAGAATCTCAAGAAAAATCATTAGGAAAATTAAAAATAGAAGAAAAAGAAGATAAAAATGAATGAAGAGTTAGACTTATTAATAGAAAATTTTGATTAATTAAATTTAACTGATATAAGTGAATACCAAGTTTTAATGAATATTGGATGAGAACCTAATCCAGTAAGAACATCTAAACAATAATTACGTGATACAGATGAAAGCTATGCACCTATATATAATAAATCATATAAACAATTCTATGATAATGTAAGATATAGATAACCACCTAAAGGAAATAAATATAAAAGTAGGTTTGAATTAAATGATAATTATTATAAACCAATTAATCATGGAGGAACAAAATTAGATTTAAATTGTAAAATAGATACAAAAAAAGTTTTAATAACTTGGGCAGACTCGATGATATTATTCTTTTTATATAATAAATATGACACTTGGGAGAGTATTGAAAGGGGAATAGAGTTATTAATAGCATCCTTTGAAGGAGATGTTAAAAATTGGTGGGAAGGAATAAGCAATGATATAAAAACATTAATAAAAAGAAATGTACAAACAGAAATAATCAAATCAGATAGACAAGGTATAGAAAAATTAGTAGAATATATTTCAGATGAATTTTTAGGAGAAAATTGGATAAGAAATGCTGAAGAGGAATCAATAAGAGAAAAAGATAATGCTAGAATAAAATTAATAAATTTAACAATATGTGATATGTGTAAAATTAAAAAATATACTTGTGAATTTAGAAATTACTATTATGTTCAATTTTATAGTAATGAAAATGAAGAAGTATACTAAGACATGTATTATAATAAGTTACCAGGTTCATGGGGAATATATTTTAAAATAGAATTTGAAAAATATGTTAGAGATAATATTGGAATACCTAGGACTTTAGGTTCAAGAATAAAAATTTTATTTGAAAGACTTGCATATATTCGTCAACAAATGCAATTAATGAAAAAATAAGGAAAACTAACTAAAATATGTTGTGAAGATATGGAAACTCCCGTGCAACGGGGATGTAATCCTGAAAGAAGAATTAATAAAAGAAAATATAAAAATAAAAAGTTTAAAAAATTTAGAAATTTTAATAAAAAATATATAAAACCTAGAAGAATGTATTATAAAAGAAAAAATAACTCATATAATCAACAGAAAAATAAAAATTATAAGAAAAACGAAAGTCAATGTAAATGTTGGAATTGTGGAGAGATATGTCATATAAGCCCCGATTGTGATAAAAGGAAAGTTAAGAATATTACAAAAAGAATATTTAGAAAAAAAAGATGAATTAAGTGAAATATCAGATATTGAAGAATATTATGATCAAGAAGTATATATAAGTGAAACAAAAGAAGATGGATCAGGATCTGAATAAAGAAATTGAAGAAATAGAAAGTAATAATATAAATATTCTAGAATTTGAAGGAATAAAAGAATATGGATTAAAAGTCATTTTTGACAATAACAAGTTTAGAAAATTGCAAAAATTATCTTTAGACCTAAAAATAGGAAAATGGGAAGTCTTTGATAGAATTTGGAAAAGAGAAAGAATAGCAATAAATGAATATCACGAAATAGAAAAACCATAAATGTAAGAACGACTTATAGGCAACATAAAATAAATCTTTTAACAAGAAATACAATTGATGAACTATTAACAAAAATTAGCAAAAAACAAAGTGAAAAAATCCAATATGTTTATTTAGTAGGAATACAAATAATGTTTAAATCACTATTTAGAGAAGGGATAGATTCACCCTTAACAATAAACTTACATGATGGAAGAATAATAAATTTAAAAGATAGTCATTTAGGAACAATAGAAGGAAATTTAGTATATCAAAAAATTATGTTTACATGTGATCCAAAATATTGTGTATTATTAAAAGATATGAATTTTAATGAAGTTTTAGGACTACATTTTAAGTTTCGTAGAGATGATATTATGCAACCAGGTGATCAAATTATGACTATAGAATATAGAGCTTTATACACATTTACCAATTCTAATTATGGAAATATTTATTCCAATAAACCATATATTAAAAAAGAATGTAAAGATATTAGTAAAATAATAGAACTAAATAAACAAATAAGTTTAATTCCAGAAGAATATGAATTTAGCATAGCAAAAAATAAACCTGAAATAACAGAATTAAATAAAGGAGAATGTTCCAATAACATAACATTTAAGGATGGAAAATTAATCAAAAGATCAAAAAGTCTTAAAATGCCTAATAAAAACCAGTTAGAAGAAATCAACAAAATAAAAGAAATAAAATTACATAGGAATGTTGGAAACATGAAAATAAAAGGAGAATATTATAATGGAAGAGGAAATATAAATGGACCAAATACATTAATAGATACAGGAGTCAGTGAATGTCATATAGCTTCGATTAGAAACAAAGGACTAATAACTCATAAAACTGAACCATATAAGTATGTAAATTTTGACGGACAAGTACATATAATAGATTTAGAGGTTAAAGTACGAATAAAAATAGGAGGAATAGATCTTTTAGTACCATGTTATATAGATAGAAGTATGGATATAAACCCTCATATACTTTTAGGAATGATTTTTCTAAATGGATTAGAAGATTATAGTATAAAAAAGATAAGGATTATATATTGTTCATAATGGATAAACTACATTATGTAAAAAATATTAAATGAATAATCAGATAAGTTTTTCATTAGCTGTGTATATACAAATTACTATTGTAGAAACAAATATAACAATTTGTGCTTTGATAGATACAAGAAGTGATATAACAATATTTAAGAGTTTTTTGATAAAATCATGGAATAATAATAGTAATATAAAAATAACTGGCGTTACAGGAGAAAGTACTCAAATAATTAATAGTGCTGATAAAGTTAATATAATTTTTGGAAGTAAACAAGTGATAATAAATAAAATTTATAATTATGATAAATTAGAATGTGACATATTATTAGGA